CACTCACTCACTCACTCACTCACTCTCATTCTGTGAATGATCAGTTAATCATTGATCATAGTTGTTTTTTATTGGTAATTAAAGAATTTATCACAAAACTAATGATTGATTAACAAATAACTAATAAACAAATAATTATTATTCTTTTATTAATAAAATATAAGGTTTTAAATGACAGCAAAACATGATTTTAATGATATATAATATTATGAATGAAAATAAAATAATGGAAAATGAATTGTTTGGTGTATTGAATGAAATGGTGAGAAGACGTGTGGATGTGATTATCATGTCTTAAGTTTATCAGATCTGACGGCCTCTTCATATGTGGGCGGAGAGTCAAAGTGATAGTTGCGATCATTGATGCCAAACGTGTCTTCAATAGCGACCAAATCGACCACAAAGTCATTACAGTTCTCGAAGAATAATTCGATCTGATCTGTGGTGCGCTCTAATTGTGTCAACAATTGTTGTTCACCACTAGTGAGCGGCAAATCATCAAAAGAGGTCTCATTAATGGACTCAAGAATTTCACTCTCGTATTCCAAGTCATGATTTCCAGGTTTGTTAGAATCGGAACCAAAAGTGGCCAGAATTAGCACTATTATGAAGATTATGGCCGCAGAAAACACTAACAGCGAGAACTCGTAGATTGTGGTGACAATTGTGGGCACTTCGACGTTGTTGGACATCACATATGAGCCCATTATTAGCAATACTATGTAAATTGGTATTACAATTACACAACACCGGAATAATAGGTAAGAATACCATAGATTCTCAATTGTTCGTTGAGCTCGCGTTAAATGCTTCATATTTGCCGTCACTTTTACTCTAATTGTATTTGAATTAATATTTAATAATATATGAGTCGATAATAGTTTAGTTTAAATATTATATTCATTTAATGGAAAATAAAAGCATTTTGTGTTTACAATAAGAATATTGATTATAAAATGATTTCCCAAACTTCGTTGAGTTGAGGGAATTCATACCTTTGGGCCTAACGTCACATGTATTCACGCATTAGTTAAGCCCTATAGTTGTAATGCATTCTTGCATTCCTCAATATAACTGTAACTCACAATTCTTAGAAATGTATTGAAAACTATTTTTAAACGTCAATTAAAATACCAATATTTTGTGCTATAAATTCATAAAATATAAAACATTAATGAATTTTAAATGCTTATAACAATGTTTATGTTTTTTATTTTAAAAATTTCATAATAAAATAAATATATTTATTATTACAATACAATAATATAGAATATTTGACTAATAAATACTCTGAATAATAGAAAACATAAAAACAAATTATATAAATATTTTTATATAAAAATTATTGATTTACTGATATTTTAAACAAATCATTATAATATGTAATCAATTGGTCGAGACCTGAATTCTTAAGAATCTTAGAATATTTATCAAAAATTTCAGTCAAAATCACTTGATTTTCATCAACAGAAATAAGTTGTCTTTTAATACAGAGCTCAGCGAACAGAACAGTCGTTTCGATATTCAATTTAAGGAGTGTTTGAATCGCTTTAATGTACTGTTTGAGTGAAATAAATATAAAGACAGCCGTCTTATAGTTAGACTGTGAGATGAGGTGTTCGGCCCACCGGCGCATTATCTCCACGTACTCCTCCCCTTCAAGAGTGCACTACATTTACAATCAAATCCATTACATTTGTCCATTCATTACTCATAAAAAAGCAAACCTTTGCTAAACAAACGGATTCCAACCACTTGTTGGCGCTCTGGAGGTATCGACAGGCGTCTTGTGTTTTGCCAATCAGACACAATAGCTGTGAGCCGTCGCCTACCCTTCCATTGGCTATTAAATTAGTGGCGACTAACTGTTAATAGGATTATACAAATTGTTATATTCTTTTCTAATTAGCGCTAAAATATAGACAGACTTTGATGACGGGATGCGCCGAAGAGTCGTTAGACTGAAGTGAAGTGATAAGACATGCCTTCAAAGCGTCCACATAATAATCACTCATCGATGAGTCGCTCTCCAGAAGCAGTTGAACGGCTCGTTGCGGTTCATTCAATAACAGATGCATTTCATAACATATCTTATTTTGATTATAATTAGACCGAATTAAGTCCAATAGTGAAACCTTTTCAAACTGGATATCTTTGTAATGTTTATTATCTAAAAATAGATCATTGTTTCGATCGAGTCTTTCCTTATTGTCAAACAAAGCATAGGAAACAATATTCCAAAAGTGAAAGCTTTCGTAATCATTAAAAAGCTTTGCAATCAATATATTCCTCTCGACTTCACAGTCGGGAAGCTTTGGTCCGCCATTCCATTCATTGAGGAATAGTTTCGACTTAAATATGAATCGAGACATCGATGAAAGCATATAAAAGTTTACTGAATTTAAATCATTGTATTCGGTGTCCGTTTGATTGGCCAACAGTTCGGACATTGACGACGAGTATTGCCTGAGTTTCATATCAGTCACCAAAACAGTTCCCTCAGACGTGCAAAGGACCGGCCGATCACTGGCCGCCCAATCGATGTCAACCACTTTAAAATTCATATCTCGCGGATGTTTTAACTGTGCGTTTAGTTTAAAGTCCTTAGTGTCCCAAATGTCGACGCCGTCGTTGTATTGCATCAAGAACTTCATGTTCCCCCTCCCGGGGCCGAACCGCATCTTCTTGATTGGTCCGCGATGTGTGGGCTCAATGCGCGACACCTTCTTCTTCAGGTCCCACACATTGAGATTGCCGACGGCGTCGCCCAACAACACCTGATCACTCTTCCACGCAATGCACGTTATGTTTGCACTCATTTCAGTGTCGGGAGGAATGCAAGTGATTTCCTTCACTATATTTCCCTCAATGGAGAAGTGATACAACTCTCCCGTAGTGTTCGTCACCACAAAGTTCTCCTTCGAGTGAAAAGTCATAGCATTTGACGAATGATTTTGACTTTCAGTGCGCTTAGTATAGAGAGGACTCCATTCAATGGCAGTGATGGCTGAGAACTGTTTGGGCATAACTCGAAGCAGTGATAAACTCTTTAAGTCCCAGATCTCGAAGGGATCGTCTTTGAAGGAAATGATGAGATATTGTTTCAAATGCGAAATTCTCAACGACTCGATTGGAGACGAATCCATATTTCTCTCAGTTCTTAACGGATAAGTTGTGCCCGAATTGACTTCAGTTATATTCAGTTCGTTGTTAGTCTTCCCGGAATGCGGGGATATGTTTGGGTAAGCGAATGATATGAAGGCATCCAAACCCGTCCACTCGAGTCCTCGAACGGGAAACGAATGAATCCCAAACTCTTTATCCAGCGATGAAAGCGATAGATTCCAGATCTGAACGCTTCCACTCGAGTCTCCAACAGCTAATAGAGGCTAAAGAGAAAGTAAATACACAATACGTTATATACATTTTCCAATACAACAACAAATGAGTAATTTTGATATAAGAAATATCGCTCACTCTATGGAACTGCCAGTTTCTCATGGTTACGGGCGGACACATACGGATCACATGAGGACTAAAATTAATAGCCGAAGACATTTGGGTCATTAACATGCGATACGTTTTGCATTTCTTTTGTTCACTTGCAATATATTCATCAGTTGTGATCATATCATAAATATATGGCAAACAAATGGACTCATTATTAGCTTTTGTCCCCATTTTATGAACTTTTTTGATGATAATTCGCCCGTTATTTAGCAAAAGAGCGACTTTTGTTTCATCGCTTGGAGACAAACAATAGCCAAAAATCTTGTTTTGTTTGGTAAGTCTGAGGCCATCGGATTGACACACATTCGCATAAGAGATCATCACATTAGCGGCCATTTCGTTGGTCTCGTTTATCACTTGTTTCTGAAATAATCGCAAAGAAACGGTTCCGAAGTCGTGGCAAATGAAGAACGCGTTTCGGTTTTGACACGAAAACACATTCGTTATGTTTGAACAGTTCCTCTCGAGTGGTACACAACAGATGATCGCTTCGATCGACAAATCAATCACTAATATCTGGCGACTGATTGCCACCAATACTTGATTGGGAACCGATTTGTGATAACAAATCTGAATCCAATCACTCATTACATTAGTATCGCTCGAAACCACTTTTTCGGCTAAAAGAGAATAATTCAAAGCCGAAGTAGATTTGGGCGGATTCTTCCCCGAATTAGAGACAATTGAATAGTATTTCAATGATCTGTTGGCACATCCATTAGCCCTCAGGTCGTCCACAGTTGCGAAACAACAGTCTTTCGATTGAATGCCAAACAGTATATTATTAGCGCAAAACGGGTCCAAAGATATGCTTTTAAGGGTTATATCGAAATTTTTGGTCCAAATAATTTCGCCGAATTCGGTGTCCAATAAAGTCAATCCATTATTTCGGTTCAAAACTAGTAAATAGTTTTGACAAATATTGTCCGCACTTTTCAATTCTAACCATTCAATCGCTTGAATACTCTTCAGCTCTTTGGTGGCAGTGATTAACGTGAGAACAGACCCTTCGCTCACATCCCATATAATGATAGTTCCGGTCGTGTCTACCGAACAGAGCTTAAGATCGTTTGAATGACACCATCGGATCAGACAAACCGAGTGATTATGTCTGTGAAGACCTGATGAGAGAAATGAGTTAAACGATTGATTGCGTTTGGATTCGTGTGAAGACATACTTTGACAGAGTTTGAGGCCGTGAAGAGCGTCGACAACAACCACCCGATTATGGGATCCGATTGCTATCAAACCACTCAAAGACCAATCGATGGCCTTTTGGTTCCATTGAGACAATACTCCAGATATAGTCCGCGGACTTATGTTTTGAATGACAGGCTTCTGAAGGGATGTCTGGTCGGCGGTCGGCGTTGTGTCCGCTCTCTTAGCCGAAGACAAGGCATCGTTTGATCCAATGGTGTGACTCTCGGATGAACTCATGTTTTGCTGATTTCAACGCAAACTTCATATGAATTACGATATGTTTTGTGATTTCAACCAAAACTCGATTCGTGTTTACATTTGAGACTCAAATCTCGACATAATTTGTGGCAAACATTGAAAACATATGTTTTGAGGCAATCATTGGTTTGCAAATCAATTGCCAAAACATTTTGACATTTGTTTACAAAACACGTGAAGACTATTGACTGAAACGAGCGAATCGTTGGCCACAAAGAAGTGAGCGATGGATACGAAGAATGGGACGAAAGGAGTGGACGTCGAGACGACTGCGAAGAAGACACACAAGTATGACATCAACGACGAGACGGTGGCAGACATTAAGCAGGCGTTCAAACAGTTTGATGCCGAAGACAAGGGACTCATTGCCGCCAAAGACGTGAAGTTTGCGGTCAGAGGTCTCGGCTTTGAGCCCAAGAAGGAAGAGATCAATAAACTGGTGGAACAGATGGACCGAAACAAGAGTGGCCTCATATGCTATGAGGACTTCCTGTCAGTTATGGCCAAACGGTTCGCAGAGAAGGACACAAACGATGAGATAATGAAAGCGTTTCAGTTGTTTGATGTGAACAAAAGCGGAACCATTTGTTTCGAGAACTTGAAAACTGTGGCCAAAGAATTGGGCGAAACGCTAACCGACGAGGAATTGCGGGAAATGATAGTCGAGGCCGACAGGGATGGCGATGGACTCGTCTCCTCACAAGAGTTCTTCCGTATTATGAAGAAGACATGTCTCTATTGAATGAATCCATTGTTTGATGTATTAAACCATTTATACTATTATTTCATTTCATTTAAAGTGAATTATATGTTGTTTTTAATGTATTTTATATTTATTTAATACTCATTTGATTGAATTTATTGTTATTATTATATATTATTGTGATTTACAATTTGTGAATAAATATTGAAATAAATGTCATTACAATAAAAATGTTATTAAAATGAGTTAAATTACAGAATTGTCTTAATTGTACGAATTATTTATTACATGTAACATCTAATTCGTTACAATATTAGCGTTTAAATATGAATATGATTAATAAGTTTGAGTAAGAATTTTATCAATTAATAACTTTAGAATATTTATTTGTGAATGGTTAAATATTAATTTAATGATTTATTGATAAATTCTAAGATTGTCTAAAAATTGAGATTATAATTTATAAATGCTAATCAATAGGTTTTATAAACATTGTGAGCAACTATTACCGACAGATCGAGTCAATGAATGCCATATCATTATATTCTGTAAATGTTATAATTTATAATAGATCTCGTTTTTACAATATGCTTATTCAAGTGAATCATACGTTACAATATTAATTAAGTTATATAAAAATTTCAATAATGTTTTATGATAAAAGTAATGGGATACTTAAATTCAAACATTGTTTTATAATTATGAATAAGTTATTCATAATAACTCATTGTTACCAATCATTATGAATTAGACTTTACTATCAATCACTTGAATATTAAATTGTTAACAAGAATTGTCTCTCATTGGGAAATGCACTTAAAGATTGGCAATAAATGCTAAATATTTATTGTTGTGCCCAAAGAGTATTCTTTATGAAAATCCCAGAATTTGCTGTCGTCTCACTATTATTGGCATGATCAATGTCATTGCTCAATTTAACTCAAAATTCACACCTTGATACTAAAATAGACACTCCCATAGAGATACATTTTCCAGCTGATATACTTTGAAAACTCGTGTATAAAAGTTATAGATACAATTTAAATAAAACTTGGTTTCTGGTGCCTAAAATGTCAATTTAAATTAGAAATTTACTTTCACTATTATAGCAACTCGTTAGAAGTTGCTTAAACAGCTTAATTTTTAAATTTATAATATTTAAATAAACATCTAGTGGACGTCATTAAATGAACTAATTTATTATTAATTAATAAACGGCGGAATAAAAAGTGATAAAAATATTTTGATTGTTGTAATTTTCAATAAATGCGAGACTAGTGTTTGCAGAGGAACTAACAATTAAACCCGATTTTATGTTTGGATTGAATAAAAAACTAAT